GAAGTACACTGCTGAGGGGAGCAGCGGGCGGGTCAGGAGAGGTCTGACGCACCATGTAGTCACCTCCGGGGCAGGCCGGGATCGAAGTCGTGCGGAAGTGGCCTTACCTTCTTAGTGCTGGGCTTTAACCCGCTGCGCCACCAGGGAGGGCCTCCGTTCTTTTTAATCCAGTTAACAATTGTTTGCAGCACAGGGTGTGATGGGGAACTTAAAATTTTTAGGAGGCCACTGCTGAGCACTGGCCGATGCTTATGTCCTGGGGAGCCCTGACCCCCTCCCGACAGAACATGACCAACCCCCTGGAAGTTTCCTCTGGCCCCATCCAGTCCCTGGGCAGCTGGAGTTCCTTTCCCAACATAGGTTAGTTTGTTCTAGAACTTCATTAAAGTGGAGTCGTGTGTTGCGTCTGGTATAAAGCTTTGACATAGCATAGTGGTTCTTCCTTCCCACTATTGTGGGTTCCTTCCTCTTGCTGAGTAGTCAGTGGTATGAACAGACCACAGTCTCCCCTTTTACCCAATTTCCCTCTCCCCATCCTTCCTTCAGGGCAGTTCAGTGATTTAATGACCTGAAATCCTTTGACCCCTGACTGTGGTGGTTTTACCTGCTGGGTCTGTCTGACCCACGGTGAGCCTGCTTTTTGGTGTTTCGTAATTTAGGGAAGCTTAGTTTTGGGGGCGCCTCTTTGGTCTGGCTTTGTACAGGTTTTATTTCATTTCTTTACCTCCACATGTGGCTGGAACCCTACTTGTGTGATCTTAACAGCCGTCATTTAGTCCTACTCCGTCCAGCTTAATTCACCTGGTGTTCTCTGTCCAGTCTGGCCATGTTGTTGCAAATGGTAAGATTTCATCTTTGCGTTTTTAAATAGCTGAGTAGTACCCCATCACATACGTACACATGTGTATATCTATATATGTGTATGTACATGCATCTCTGTACACACACACCTATCACGTCTTCTTTATCCACTCATCCTTTGATGGGCGTATAGGTTGTTCCCAAATTTGGCTATTTTGAATAATGCTGCAGTGAAGATAGGGGCACATATACCTCTTTGAATTAGTGTTTTATGTTCTTTGTACTTATTATCCAGAATTAGGATGACTGGACCATACGGTATTTCTAGTCTTAATTTTTTGCGCAATCTCCATACTGTTTTCTTTTATGGTTGCACCAGTTTACATTCCCACTGACAGGGCACAGAGTTTCTTTCCTCTCTGCATCCTCTGCACTGCTGGATTTTTGTCTTTTTTAAAAAAATATTTATTTATTTATGCATACAGAACTGGGGTACAGGCCAGAGGTGCAGGGGTGGTGAGAGGATTCACCAGAGACAGAGCAGGGA